CAGATAATGCTTCAGATTCATTGTCCTAGTAAAAATAATAAAAAATAAATAAATGCACCCTTAGAAATTAAATAGTTTTTGCTATTTTTTAGTAGGTATATTAATATTAAAATTGTTTTATTTAATTATAAGCTTTAGATATTTTTAATATTATGTAAAATATTATGCGTACATGGTTTTTTTAATATTGATTAGGTTGTAACAATTTTTTACATAATAAACATGGTTGTAAATAATTATTATGCATGCACTATATGCAAATTCAAATATTAAAAATACTTATTTTGTCTTCATTACAAAAAAAAAGGAAGTAAAATAAGTTTCCATTTGCCACTAATAATATTTAGCATAAAAGTACATTTAAAATCTCTCTTGAAAAATATTGCATTGCATGAATATACTTACAAGTGTCCGGACTGTCAGAAGAATTGATATGTTATCTATAACAACCCTTGTGACACTTATGCTTATTAAAGTAATGAAATCTAAACGTTGAGATCGTAGAAAAGAACCAAAGCTTAACGCTTTGCTTGCAATTGGGCAACTGTTGATCATATCGGATTTATTGTTTAATTCAATTGTTGATTCCATACTATTAGCAATGGTGATCATTGTAGCCAAATTGATGTTATCTGCTATGCCTTTGTCAACTAAAATTTTGTCCACATCAAATAATGATATGAATGTGATACCACCAATTTCAAAGTCTCTTCGATATTTGTAATATTTATTGCACAAAATATTAATTAAGTCAATGTCTGATTTTGATTTTGATTTACTTATACAAGTACTCAGCAAAAATGTATATACTGTGGCTCTTTGACACAAATCAATTAAAAAAGAAGGATCTACATCTTGGATTACTTCTCTAACATTAAAATATGAAACCACCATAGTCCGGCCATAATCTATGAGGACTATAGTGTGAGTTTTGGCCACTAAATCTGAATATATAATTAGACATCTATATACTCTTGATTCATAGTCATTTTTCCAAGTATATACATATAACTTGTTTCCAAAAAGGTCTAATGCATTACATTCCTTTAAAAAAGTTAAATGTCACCATATCAAATAATTTAATTATTTAATATTCATACCCTTGAGTAATGATCATAATTTTGTACATTTTTTTCTAAATTTTTTCTCTTTTGAGAGTAAAAGTTTGCCCAAATTTTTATGAAACATCCTTGAAATTCAGCATGAGTCACATAAATGTCATTGTTAGTCAACTTATGAGGAACTAATGATTTCTCCATAATTTAATCCAGTTGTTCTATACTAAAAAAATGGACAGCTATTTTAATAGGGCATAAATAATTTTATATGGCAGTTGTTACATAGAAAAATTATTTCATTACAATTACATGGTATGACATAAATCAGCTTGGTAAAATATGGCTAATGTGGACAACTGAATTGGCAAAACTTGTGTTTGAAAATGTGTCATGATTATCAACATAATATGAATACAATGAACTACAAAAAAGCACTAAACAAATGGAACGACCTGTTTTAAATTACTATTAGATACTTAACTAAAGAAAGGAAGATTGAAGAAAAAAAAGCTATTTATATTTGATGAATTATTTTACAGGATATTTTTTTAGGATTGGTTGGGTAGATTATATAACAAAATAATAAGTCTATCATAGAAAACAAAACATTTTATAAAAGCCCAGAAAATTAAAAGATATACACTGATAAGTCATACTCTACGGCACAAAAATAAACTAGAAAAACTAATAGAGAATCCATAGAAGAAAGACTACCACTCAAATGCATAAGTCGACCAAATATTATGCTGGAGAACATACTAAAATTTGAAAAGAAAAGCAGAGAAGCAAAACAAATGGAAAGTTGCTGCCAACCAGCTCTTGGGCTGTTAACCCAGAAGAAAAACTAAGGAGTTGGCCCAGCATTTGAATTTCTAAAATATTTTTTTTTATTTTAAGTCGAAATACACAATCTATATCATAAGAAATAATAAATATATAGGTGTTATGATATTGGCAACATTGTATTACAATTTATATTTATGTTAACCTCACTTTTATGATGATTTATTCATTCATTGTTCTGTTCACGAGTATATAAATGTTATTGTAAAATGTGAAAATAAAAAACACATAAAGATAAGTTGTGAAAAGTTTTGTCATTACCTCAGGATATTACAAATGTCGACGAAGATATAAAACAAATATGAAGCGTTCAAACACAAATTGTCAATCTAATTAAAGGCTGTAAAGAAAAAGAGCCTGAAAACCTGACGAACGTCAAGGTGAATCAAACAAAGAGTATACACTTCAAGAACTGGTGCCAGTTTTAAATTATGTCTGTCAATTGAATTTAACATATCAGATAATGCTTCAGATTCATTGTCCTAGTAA